ATCTATAACGGTTAATTGGGATTACATTTGCTGATTTGCGCTTCACTTCGTCTTGATCACATGCTGAATTAGATTTGAACGTATATATATATATAAATGTATATGACTGACTATAACACATTTAGCATGTATTACATAATTTTGTTTTTTATTGTTCAATCATCATCATCGACTCGCACTCAATGGCAGCGACAACTCATTGCACATATATACACATATATAAAAAGAACAAAAAGAAATAAAGGGAAAGTGAGAGAGTGTATATTGACAGTTTTCTTTGTGATTATAATAATTAAACAGATCAATACTTTCTTCCTTTGTAAATATACATATATGAGTGTTAGAAGCAGAATAAGATGTTATCAGGAACATACATTCATACATCATATAGAAACAGCTTATTTTAAATTCACAGCGCGCGATACTCATTCGATACGTTGCTTACATAAGTGTCTGATGTTGTTGGCAATATTATACAAAAGAATATTGAAGTTATATATACATATGTAAAATCATTGACATATCTGTTTTATCATAACAAGAAAAAAAAAAAGAAAAACAGTAAACTTGAACATGTCTCAAAAGCATATTCTTTTTCATATCGAATTAAAAATTGAAGCAGTCAAAATGAATATTCTATGCATAATAAAGATAAAAATATAACGTTGAAATCAATTGAGTTTTTTTTTTTTTTTTTGATAAATCTACGGTTTATGATGTTGAGTACTAGACGTACTCTAACTACTGAGTTAAGAGTACTTATTGAAAAATATAAAAGTCAAATGATGTGATAGAAACGGAAACAGAAAAAATATATTATGTATTTCCTTTGGGATATGTTGCATTGATTGAATCTGCAAGAATAATAATAATAGTAAGAAGAAAACCTAACATTATTTCTATTGATTTTCTTTGTTCTCTTTTTAGTCATATTTATTTACAATAACCTTCAACTATATTTCCTCATGTATTTATTCTTTGATTAAATGAACAAAATTTCGAGTATAACAATGTGATCAATATATTGAACAGAATCACTGTATATTATAAACCATATGTTGAATTTACGATATTAACACAAACCATATCTATTCATATGTCTTCTCATGAAAGCTCTTTATGATAAGCTTGCTTATTTTGTAATAGAAATTTGTTGATATTATATATATATATATGATTAACAGAGAGAATTAAAGAATAAATTCTTAACTTTCGAAGAAAAAAAAAAATTTCCATCAGTATGTCGATTATGATTAATGAAGAAATCATATTTAAAAGCTACGCGAATCAGTACTAATATAATTAAAGTTATTACCTTATATTTGCCATTGTTCAATTAAATTCATAATGAAACTTGGTACTATTACTATGAACAATATTTTGAAAATCCTTTGCATTGATGCTAATGTTTACATTTCAAAAAATGAGTTTCTTTTTTTTCAATTTAAACTCAATATTTCAAACGTTTTCTGAAAATGAATAACATATCACAAGATTTCTTCCAATTTGTATGCAAGAAATATTTATGAATTGTGAAATATTCAAATACGAATGACAATAAACAAAGGCATGTTGCTATTCTATGAATACGTGTATCGCAATAAATAAACAAGTATTTTTCATTTAAATTGTAAGATGTCCATAAAACGATGCAATTACTGTATCAATATTGATAGATAATTTAAAAGTGAGACGAAATCGCCTAAGATAGTCTTCGATGATATGCTTGACAATTTCAAAACAAAGAAAATCTTATTTTTTAAAAAAATAACAATAAAAAAAAATTATAATTTGTATACATTTACTATTCATACAAAATAGACAACAAGATATTTGACCTATGGTGGACTAATGGGGATAGCTCTGGTTGAGTCTTCGTGTCATACATCCCAATGTTCTGATGAATATTTCATTTAATAATTGTTACAGTAGAGTATGTATATGTTTGAAAGCTTTGTATATATTTATTTTATCTTGATCATGCTGTCTTTTGATATGTTGGCAAAAGAATATCGACATAAATTATAATTTGTGATTTTTTTTGTCTATTCGTTGCCAATGTTTTAGAAAACGTCCATGTGAATATAAATCTTTCCATAGCACATACACAGAGAAACATGCGAAATTTTAAAAATAGATGATGCTAAATCAATGGCAATTTCTGAAGTTTTATTAATAGTAATAGATAAATATTTTTTAAATCGAATGTTACTGGTTGTCAAAAATTCAATGCTTCGATGTGTAGCAAAAAGAGAGTGATGCCAGAGATTTTCGAAGAAATTCTCGAAGATGATCGCGCCACTAGCGCGATAGTCTTGTTTCTTCGAGGATCATGGCATGACAGTGACAGGTTTTCAGCCGCAATGGACACCTCTAACTGGTATACATAACATGATTCTTAACTTCGATTCAATGCTACTGTGTTATCATATCTATCATTTTTTCTGATTATTAGATTTAATGAATACATAGAAGTTTTCATCATGCTTTATAATTCATAGAATTCCAATAATCGTAAAAGTATAGTAGGAAATTGTTTGCGATATATTTATTGATAAACTAAATATTACTGAACTATAAATTCTTAAGAAGAATTTTATTAATACATAAAATAAGTTTTTTACGAATGACTTAAAAAACATAATGTCTCATTAGAACAACCAAAGAAAAAGAATTATTAAGCGATAAAATTGACTTCCTATCAAAGTCTAATTTCATGTTTCTAATATGTTAATATTGACTGTCACGAGCGTCAGTTATTTTTAAAAATTAGCCTATTTTAAGAAATGTTATCTATCCAATAAAATATTAAATATATAGGAACAAGTTGTTTCATGACTACATTCCAGATACAGATTTGATTCCTATGATATATTATAAATCTAGTATGATGATCAATATCATCTAAGAATCGTTATCAGTCGAGCGATTCATTCTGCATTGTGCACCAATCATTTCTTCCGATTGCTTTCTTTTTATTCTGATATTATCACTTTTTTTGACTATTAAGCAACTATATTGCAGTAAAACTAGATTTTCATACTTTTCTATCCTATATTTTCCTTCCTATTCGATAAATTTTGGCAATATATATCGATAAAGATACAAAACCATGTCTCTATTTCGAAAGAGTCGATTAAATACATTATATAAATAGATACAACATGTACTATAAATATATTTTGACTTCATTAGCTTATGGTCATCTACTATGATCATGATAGGAATACATAAAACAATTTGATTGTAATATGGAATACATGAAATAATGTAATTTATGACAAAAGACGATCCCTAACCCTAGAGACTGGTGGTCCCAAGAAACACTTAAAATCGAACTGTTGGTTTTAGTACGGATCAGTAATAACCGAATGAAAAAAATTCCTATTTGGGTGCCTAACAATTGTCTTTAGAACCGTTGATTTGATAATAGTATGCCAAATAACTGATATAACAATTCTTTTAGAAACCTTTAAGTAATATATCATTTTTTGAGACTGTTGATGTCTATCATTCTTAACCAAATAATTTCTGCGAAAGATAAAATAACAAAGGAAAAAATGAGCAAATCATGACAATCAATCATCTGTTTCATCTTTTCATTCACACAAAATAATATTGAGCTGAAACTCTGTGAAAATATTGGGTTACCTAGTTTATGCATTAAACTAGATTTCAGCTTTATATCTCATTCTTAATAAGGGCTTATGCAATTTTAGTATGTTTATAATAAACATTTTTTTGGACCTATCGCATCTCTAATTGCATTCAGGCAACTCAACTAAGGCAGCTTGTTCTTCTTTTTCTTGTTTAACAAAACACACACGGGTTTAGTACTTCTCTAACGTTTTCTAAATTTTTTTTTCTGTCGCTAATCTTGAGATACACATTGAATCAAAAAGTCTTCAATAAAACTGTAAATTTTTATGAAAAAAGGCGAAATTCGATAGAATTTCTTTAGTGAGGATCATTTTTTGAAAAAGACTAGTAAAATTGCTAGTTCTAATCATGAACTTTCAAACAAACACGTAATATTTGAATTTATCTTTTACTGTGATAGAATATCACTGAAGACGCATCAGCGAACAACTTTTTTAAGAAAAACTGACTTCTTTCATCAGAAACGGTTTTTTTGAGACACAAAATCATCATTTATGACGAAAATTTTGCTTTTAACAAGGACATAGCTCAAAGCCATAATATTAATGAAAATGGACATCGGAGTATCTAATCATAACTTTTCGGCAAACATGATTTTTTGACGATGTGCAATTTTTTTCAGAAGTCGTCGTCAAATCGTTAGCTATTTTTTTACCTCTCTTTTCATCTAATTATGAAAAATATATACAGTTTACTATTGATGCAATTTTTGGTTAATCTTTCTGACTTTAGGTAATGTAGCAATTGAGCACGTCCCCAGAGTCATCAGAAAAAAAATGCCCATTCTAATGATATGCAATATGATTATAGATAAAAAAAAACGGAAAAGTTTCGATTGCGATTTGATTTTATACTTTTTTGCGCCGATAGACTTTGTTAAACAGTCTAAATGATCCTTTTGGAATTATTATATTAGATTTTGAGCGGAAGTCGATTTTCATCGCTTATCGAACTTTATCCTTTCATACGGTCATTCGACATTTTATAGTACCTAATGAATGTTTTTTTGCTCTATATGCAATAATCTTTTTTTTCAGAAAAAATAAAACATGAAAAACTAACTTTTGCATCTGGTACAAGTTTATTTGTCATGTTTGCTCTTGGGTAGCTATCAGGCGGAAAAACGTCATTTTGTGTCTCAGTCTATGAATCGTGAATTTGATTTTGTTGAAACAAGAACCACATATGCCTTAGAGTTTCAGATAACGAACAGGAACTCAATATATATTCTTTGAGTTTGAGTTTCCGTCGAATAAAAAAAAGAGCTTTTTGTTGATCAATGTGCTCTATGTGTCTAGCAGTGTTAATAATTATTACTGTTCATTTAGATCGTGAAAAAAATGCTTATTATGTATATAATGATATTTCTTGCTCTGCATAATGCAGTACATACACAATATTCATTATATTATTCCGATATTCGTCAGAATTCGTATCTGACATTTGATTGTCTGTACACTCAAATCATCGAAGGTGAATTAAATACATACTCATCTTATATTATGAACAATCAGTTAACCTCCTATTGTCGACGACCTGATAATGATGAAAAACAAGATGAAATATCTGACATGCTAGAGGAAAATATAGCAAACAAGATTACTTTTAATGAGTTAAGGAAAAAAGGTGTAACAAGTGAACAACTACTTAGTTGGTCAGCACCTATCGATCTGGTTGAACGATATGAAATAAATAATCAAAGTGATGAACAATTATTCTATAACTGTTCATCACGATGGTTTGGCTCGAAATGTCAATATCGATTTGTCTACAATTCATCTTTATCATTTAATGAAATTGTTAAAGCTTCTGTGAATAGTCGTTTCAACACAAAGCTCAACGAAAGCATTACGACTTGTTATCGCTTTTTAGCTAATTGTAATCGTGGACCATGGTCTTTATGTCTTGACTGGCGACAAATATGTAATGGCAAAGTTGATTGCAAGAATGGTGAAGACGAACAATGGTGTGAAACACTGGAAATGACAACATGTGCTGATGATGAATATCGATGTCATTATGGTGGTCAATGTATTCCCATGATATTTGTACGAGACAGCTCCTTAAGTACTGACTGTCTCGATGGTAGTGAAGAGAAAGAAAGCAACTTTCGATTTACACCTTTGACAAATGTTTATTGTGGTTCAATTATCACATTTCGATGTGAAGAACGTATTAATCGATACCCTCTTGCTTTTCCATGTGGTAATGGTCAATTTTGGTCCGCGACTGATATGCCCGTTAGTGCGTATGATTGTTCGAACAGGCGAAATAGAGAAGTAACTTTAGCCATGCTTACTTCGTTTGATCACATTAAAGATACTAAATGTCAAGAAGCTTTTCGTTGTTCACTACTTTCCAATCGAAGTTATAGTAAGTAAGAATAATTCTGTATTAATTAAATTAATAAGAAAACTCAAATGTTTCTTTTTGTTTTTCAAACAGTAGTATACAATGGCTAAAACTTTAAAATGGAAATTATGATATCTTCTCCTTCGATTGCTAAAGTGTTTTGTCTAGTTTTCGAAAGCTTACTACCAACTTGAGAGTTTCTAATGATAATTTACAGTCAGTACACTAGTTACTGGTTATTACGACTGTGACACTTTCGATGGTAAGAAAACATTGAAAAATGTTACAGTTATAAGAAATTGCAAAACAAGAGCGGATGTTTTATGTGCCTACACTAATGTTTACTGCGCAGCAGATGGTTTTGAGTTTTGTATGAATCTATCAACTTTCCTCAATACTTGATGTTCATGTAAAAGTCGGTCGAAAGAAACAATATTTTTGCGCATTCCTAACTACTGGAAAAAGCTCATATTATGTACATCCAGCTTTGATTATCTTGAAACACTATTTCATTGAACTGCATTCTACACTAATGTTTAGAAATATTCCCTTCTTGCTCAGATGTCTTCGCACCGCTATTGATTTCCAGTTTGGAAAATATATGACTTAGCGGTTTTTCAAAAAAAAAGCTATATTATATGTCATACTAGAAAATGAGCTGTCTCGTTTGTGTATTAAAAAGTTCTTTGAGACATGAAAGTATTCCTAGAGAGATAAAACTAAGAGACCAGATAAGATCAGTTTGTGCTGCTTTAGCAAGTGAAAGAGCATAGTTGAATAATGAAATCATACGTAGTTTGAAATCTGAACAAAATCTTATTGAACGAGGATACCCTGTTAAACCATCGTAGACCATGATTGACGCTATTGATATAAAACACAGACCGCATATCAAGAGCACCTCGTTCTAATATGTAAACTATTTCTCTATTGAATTTTGGAGAATTAAGTCAAAGGATGATAATGAAATATGCCTCAGAATAGATAGAATAAAGTAATCTCCTTATGATTAGCAAGAGTTTCTACATTGTATTTTCAATTTCAATCCTGCAGGTATTCCATTAGCATCTTTCATATATATGACTTGCATTGAGTGAGAACAAAAACGTTCAATGAGTTTAATTGAAACCTTATGCTCTCTCCGTTCATTATGTTTTTAATGAGACGTGTTTTTCATAAAACAGAGTTTTAAACATTTATCCGAGAGGAATTAACATGTACTTGTAAATTTCTGCTAGCTAAAACATATCAGAAAACATTGAATAGTTAGCACCAGTCACTGATAGAACCAATGCTGGTAGCTGTTTGGTTCGTTCCGATCTATCCACTAAAAACCGACACCGGTTATTAAACATGTAGACTCATTCCGTCTCTATTGTTCATAATCAATTTAAAAAAAAATTGGTCATGCCAAACACGTTGAACAGAATCATATTTTATCACGGAGATAAATTTAGGAGAATTACGAAACTGTTATGATTCTGAATCAGTTGTATTTTGGACAGCCTTAGTTCAACATATATATGCCAAATTGTTATTCATTGTCTTCATTTAAAACTGCAGCATATCTTATGAACTTATTTGCTTTGCAAAAGATACCCAAAAAAGCACAATCAAATAGCATTGGCTTCTCAGTCTAATATTAAGTTAAGAATTTTCTGATAAGACAAAAAGAATTAAATTACCCTAATGCTCATCTAAACTTTTAATAAGACAGTGAACATTGAAATTTTTTTCGTCATTCTGTTGTTTCCTATATATTCATATTACACTATCAATCAATTCTAAATCATCGTTTTACATAATCAGTAGAATTGTTAGTTCAATAACAGCATACACATTAGTAAGAGAGATAGAATCTATGGATACGATATGATATGACTATCTCGCAGAATCTAATGTCAAACTGAAGCAAGTAGGATATGAACGAATGTCAGTTTAATTTTATATTGAACTATCGATATAGAAACGATTATCAAGGATAAACTATATCAGAAAAACAAACACGATTCGACTCTTAAATATTGATTCTCAAATTTCACAACCATAAGATCAATGTACAACAATTAGAGTTCAATTATTTATTTTAATTGAGAAAATATAAACAATAAAATAATATAGTCATATGGTATTTTACAGATTTCTCTTTTTCTTTGGATACAAATAATTTATATTGATTGTTTATAGTTCCAACATGGAAACTGAAATAAGTAATAGCTGACTATACTAATTCAATTGATTCAATGGATTAAAAAGTAATTTGCGAATATCTTTCGCAGCGTGCAAGAAAAAAGTCCGGAAAAACCAGGATAGGTTCTATGGTACCAGCCATATCGATGTTGAAATTTTCAGTACGATCGAACTCTAAACAACTTTCTTATAATGATTGGTTTTCTAGTGATCCTATCGAATCCCAAAACAAAAATTTTTGTCTTGCCATCATGTAGAGATTCTCAAGGGCGATTTTTAGTTTTTGTATTTGGTTGTAAGCTTCTTATTAAGTCACAAAAGCATTCTTTTTCGTTTGTATATTCGTACTCCATCACATCGCTAATGTAAAGTTAATCGTTCTTTTGCAAAATTTAATCATCATCAGAAAAAAACTTTGGATAGGGATCTTGCACCTTTCGGATTTATTTAATGAATGCACTATTTAGTTTTCGAAAATACTGCCAAAAATTCAGAGTTTTTTTTCAATCTAAAAGACAAAAACTGGAAGTATTTATCTTTTTTTTGTGTCGTGTTGCTAGCGCAACTTTTCAGAGTATCTAGAGTACCATGAAATACATTAAACATAAAAATAAGCTTTCCGAAAATTTACTAACTTGAGAGACACGTGTTTATAATTTTGCCATATTACGTCACTAACAAATGATTTCACTCATATGTATCTTGTTAACATGTAAATCATGAATATGTTTTTATTATTATTATATATTTCGATATTTTCCTACTTCATCAAACCATAACACTCCTTGTGTGATTTTGCCTTTATCTAGTTTACAACCTCCAGTTTGATATGATATTAACGAATGAATATTTTGAAGTTACTTGGGATACAAACTGTGATCCTCTAGCTAATTATTGCTTCGACGAATGGCTAATTTTACCTGAACATCCTGTTATGTATGGATATTTTCAATTCGTTTATTTGACGAATCGGTCAGTTGATGAATTTAAAATCAATGTCGCACCTGACTTCGTATGTTTTGATGCACAGATATGTCCTATATTATTATCTAGAATAGTTCCAATTAAAATAATTGATGGTCTCACATGTTGCCGCACTTTTGACTTGATTCCAGAGTATCCAAGAGAACATTTTCATATGTTGAGTATAGATTTCTCGAACTTCTATCATCAATGTGTAACTACCAGTAATGAAATGACATGTGCAAATTCATCTTATTTTCATTGCAATCAATCTTTAAAATGCATTTCATATAATCGTGTTGGTGATGGATTTAATGATTGTTATTATAATGAAGATGAATCATTTCCTACATGTCATCTGAACGCCTCAAATCGATTTATGTGTAGATCAGATCCAACAAAGTGCTTGTTACCGGTAGCACTAGAAAATGGATTCAATGATTGTCCACAAGAAGAGGATGAGACAACCGAGACTGTATATGGCATTCAGCAACACATGCCATTCTCGTTTATATGTGACATCACTCCACACATGGAAGAAGTAGACGGAAATGAAACTGATGAAACAAACTGTGAATGGTGGCCATGTTATACTGCATACTCACATTGCGATGTGTTATGGGATTGTTATAATGGTATCGATGAACATAGTTGTCCCAATATGCATTGCTCTCTGAACGAATTTCAATGCAAAAACGAATATTTGAATCGAACTTATTGTTTACCATTAACTCACATGTTTCATAAGCGGAGAGATACTTGTATGAACGGCGAAGTTATTTCTGAAATCTATTTCGATAATGGAACAAATGATATTAGCACATCTTACTACTCATTTAACAAATCCAAATGTATTGCTGAAGACAACATTTGTAATCATCATTCAGAAAGAGCAAATAAACAAGAAGAGGTATGCCTTAAAAATCAAAAACTCTCCATACGAGTCGATTTTCAGAGTAAAATCTACAAAGTCGATAATGATCATACATACTTATGTAGTCTTCAACCTAATGTGGACATGCTTTTTACTTTCAACGATCGCTTCTTGACTTCTTCGAGACTTGGCTATTTTCCATCAACAACATCTATAACTACTAACATTCAAAAGTCTATTGACAAAAATCAACAGAAAACGAATATTCCTAAGATAGATATTTCACTCGCTTGGCATTGTCATTATGGTGTTCTCACTCTATTCAAGGGTGTTAATCAAACAAAAACGTGTCTTTGTCCATCAAATTATTTTGGTTCTCAATGTCAATGGCAAAGTCAACGTGTGAGTTTGACTTTACAGTTTAGAACACAAAGTATTATTTCTTCTCCACTTATTTTTCAATTAATCATTATGCTCATTGATGAACAAGGAAATATTGCACCAAATCATGAACAAATAACATATATGCCTGCTCATCATTGTAGTACAAAATTTAATATCTATCTACTTTATCCACATCGTCCTAAACATTCATCATCAAATTATTCTATTCGTATTGATCTTTTTGACAAATCAACGTTACATTATTGGACAAGTTGGTATTTACCTGTTCCATTTCAGTTTCTTCCTGTTAATCGAATATCAACTCAGTTAACCATTCCTCAAGTACCACAAAATAAACCATGTACTTTGTCCTGTGGAGAACATGGTCAATGTATGAAATATGCAAACATGAATAATTCAGTTTTTTGTCGATGTGATCAAGGATATTCTGGTAGTTTCTGTAATATCACACATCAATGTCAATGTTCAAATGACTCATTCTGTCTTGCTCCATCTATTTGTGTGTGTTCTTTGAATATGTTCGGCTCACATTGCTACTTGAAAAGACCAATATGTCAATCAATGAACAATCCATGTCAACACAATGGACTTTGCATACCAATTGATGATCGCATTAGTTTACATGGATTTATCTGTGTTTGTATAGAAGGTTATCAAGGTGAACGATGTCAATATAGAAGTAATCAAATTGATATTCATATAGATAAGACAATACTAACAATAAGCTCATCATTTATTCTACATTACATAATCGCATTTGACAGACATACAAAACATGAACGAATAACTACACTGAAGAAGGTTGCTTTCGGTTACAATTCTATGACTATTTATGTACAACAACCATTTAACATTCTTTTCATACAAATACCTGGAGGTAATTATTATCTAAGTGTAGTAAGAGAAAGATTTGTACCATCAGAATATATTCATACTCAAGTATCATCAAAAAATCGTTGTTATCCAGTTCATTATCTTTTTAATGATACTTTTCGTCAGTATGAGCATTTACGTCGAGTGAAATATTATCCACTTTTATGTCGTCAAGATTCACAATGGATGTGTTTTTATGATGAATACTACATGTGTATATGTGATAGTGATCGCTTTTCCAATTGCTTTCACTTTAATAACACAATACAATATGATTGTAGTGGAAAAAATCTTTGTTATAATGATGGTCGATGTTTTCTTAACAATGAAACTTGTCCAACAACGTTTATTTGTGTATGTAATGATTGTTTTTATGGAAGACAATGTCAGTTTTCAACAAAAGGTTTCATATTTTCACTTGATCCAATACTTGGATATCATATTAAACCAAGTATTTCACTTCATCGACAACCATTTATTGTCAAATTCAGTATTGCTATTATTACAATAATGTTGATATCAGAATTAATCATGGGTTCATTATCTATAGCTACATTTCGATTGAAAAGATCAAGAGAAGTTGGTTGTGGTTATTATCTTTTAGTATCATCAATTAGTTCAATGTGTATGATTATTGTATTAACAATTAAATTCTGGCAACTTGTTCTTTCACAAATGTCAATCATAACTAATCGATCAATACTTTTTGTTAATTGTATTTCAATTGAAATAATTCTTAAATCTTGTTTAGCATCAAGTGAATGGCTTAATGCTTGTGTAGCTGTTGAAAGAATGTTTAATGTCATCAAAGGTGTAACATTTAGCAAAAAGAAGAGTAAGATAATAGCTAAACGAGTCACTTTCGTAGTAATTATTTTAACAATACTTACACATATTCATGATCCAGTTCATCGAGAAATAATTAATGATTTGGATGGTGATGAACAAAGAATATGGTGCTTATCTCAATATTCATCTACAATTACAAAATACAATATATTTATTACTCTTTTTCATTTTCTTGTTCCTTTTTCAATTAATTTGATCTGTGCTTTAGTACTTATTATAGGAGCAGCTCGTAGTCGTTCTAAAGTAGGATCGGAACAATCATTAAATCAACATGTACAATGGAAGCTTAGACAACACAAACACATAATAATTGCACCTAGTATCTTGTTATTATTAGGTTTACCGCGTTTGATTATTTCATTCACATCTAGATGTATGCGATCACCACGTCAACCTTGGTTATATCTGATTGGATATTTTTTAGCTTTTGTACCATCCATGTCAACATTATTTGTGTTTGTTTTACCATCAAAAGTTTACAGAAGTGAATTCAATAAAACAAGGCAGCAATGGATTCGACGACTTCGTCAAAGACCTTGATCTATTTCATATGACATTTTCATAGATCAATGTTCTAATCAAGCTTGTTTATATTTCATTTTTAACAATACAGACATATATCATAAACTAGCATTCTTTATTTTCCTCAGTTGATCATACTTTTTAAAGTCTCTGAAATAAAAATATAAAACAACTGAATAACCTGAATTCTAATTGTTTCTCCTAATCATTTCATAATTGTTGTTATTTGAATAGACGTAAATCAAAATTGTTAGTATCGGTTTTCTTTTGTTTTAATCTTATGGCTAAAATATCAGATTACTACATTTTGTAATCAGTGCTAATAGAATATCAGTTTCTATTGTTGAATGATAAAGTGTTGATGTATTTTTTTTTTAAAAGAAGCAAAGCTATTCAAAGGGCATTGTTAGGTCAGATTCAACAAACGCCATTGTTGTAATATCGTGAATCAGACATTAACAAAAAAACTTTTTTAGTGCAGCCATATGAGAAGCCGAAATATGCATCTGAAGAATTTTGACTTTTGTGGGGTGTGGGATGTGGGTGGGTGTGGGTGGGCGTGGGTGGGCGTGGGTGGGCTTGGGTGTGGGGCGTGGGTGTGGGTGGGTGGGTGTGGGTGTCGTTGCTAGCGAGAAGCATATCAACACCCACACCCACACCACACACACACACCCGCACACCCACACCACACACCCACACCCACACCCGCACACCCACCCACACCCATACCCACACCCACCCACTAAAGTCGCTATTTTTTGCCTTGTATCATTGAGATCTTCAATGTTGTGTTGATAGTTGGCAAAAAACTAAAAGAGATAAAGTAATAACGTTGAACATTCACCCATGGATTCATATCATCAAAACTTTAAGTAATTCGAAGTTTCTCGAAGTAGTTCAAAGTACCTAGAGCAGCTCAAAGTATCACTAAAGTAGCGGAAAGTAAAGCAAAGTAGCTGAAAATAACTTCAAGGAGCCTTAAAGTATTTTTCAAGTAGTCTAAAGTATCGTTAAAGTAACTTCAATTAACTTCAAGTAACTTCAAGTCCAAAAGTACGCTGTTTCCCCCTTGCATAATTATTCCAAAATTCATACTTGACCTTTATTAGCTGTAAATGTGCAGAGAGGCAATGTCATAGAGTTTCTTTTGAAAACTCACTAACGTTAAGAAAGAATCCATTGTACGATCGTTCAATGGGCATAATATTATTCTTCCTAAAACACCTCTCGAAACTGAATTACTTCAGATTGTTTTGAAACACCTACTTGAAAAAGAAATCATATACCATTGATGAAACAACTAAACAGTACATTGTTAATAATTTCTGGTAAATTGGTATCCTTACGGTTTGCTTTTGGTATCACAATGATTATTCATAACTTGTCAGTCGAACGCGTTTTTAAGTCAACATATTGAAGTTGGTATATAGACGGACCTGAAATAACATATGCATGCAAGATGACAACGTCAATTTTCATCTTAGAAACATTTGATAATTAATACAATATGAAATGTTAGACTTGAAAGCAACCACGAGTACTGCCAAGGGGGAAGGAGCGAAACTGCCGTACTTCAGCATACTTCCTGTACTTCCAGACTATGTCATAACTCTGCATCATATCTCTTTAGCTATTTCAAGTCTACTATCGACCTGTGTTACGGTATATTAGCCGGAGTCCAGCTTACTGAAGTCAGCCTTACCCTAAAGCCCAAATACTTCACGATACTTCATATTCGGAAGTACCGTGGAGTATTTGGGCTTTTTTCTTAGATAGACTTACGTACGCTGGACTCCGGCTAATATACCGTAACAAAGGTCGATAGTAGACTTGAAGTAGTTAAAGATATCTTATTCACAGTTATCACATAGTCTGCAAGTATAAGAAGTACGCTGAAGTACGGTGTTTTTGCTCCTTTCCCCTTGAGTACTGCTCACCTCCATCATGTATGCAATAGTGAGGATCTGCCCCAAATTTGCATTGATTATATAAGAGAACAACTCGAAGAACAATTATTAGAGCAATGACGGTCATGAGGAAACGGATTAAAATATCAGAAAAATTGATCCTTGATACACTGAATCCATTCTTTTTGATTGTTTTATGTTAGTGACTATTAAATTGCAAACAACTTCATGTCTAGCAAAACATGCAAGAAAGATATTCGACGTGTAGAAGTGTGGGGTGTGGGTGTGTACATATGAGGATGCGCACACGAACACACCACCGAACCACACACACACCCACATCCACACCATACCCAGACCCACCCCACGCCCACACCTCACACCCTATGTAGACAAAACGACAGATCATTGGCCCATCAGTGCTGTATCATTCAATTGCAAAAGCAAATTAGGCACATTGGTTTTATTTTCTTGAGTATTATAAGATATGAAATAGATTGATTGTGATAAGCTTGTTTTGTTTATCCTTCATTGTGGAATTCAGTGCGTCGTTAGGCTACAGCTAAACAACAAATCAACAGATACCTTTCAAATAAGGTTCTATGAATGACCTATTACTTGATTTGGTAGAGGGATTTTGATGTATTGCAAAGCTTGTAATTTCTCCGGTATCACACCAGGATTAGCATTCATTATTTCATCCAGTGTACATTTGTGTCTTTGGCTTAAACCCCAAAAAGTTTCACCTTGCTTGACCTGGTAGAGAATCGTTTTGGGCATGTTGACCGAAACGCAATCTAAGAACGCTTAAACATATTTTGCATACAATAGACAGAAAGTAAGGTATGGAAAAAAGTTCGCAGCATTTTTTCTATCGATATATCTTTGCAAATTCTTGAGCAATTTCAACAAATAATAGTTATTTTAAAGAGCATTTCAAAGTGCACTTCCTGTGTTAAAATAAAGGTTCAAGCTTAATAAGTATAAGTTCTGTCGTAGATGTTTTACCGAGCAAGTCTCTGAGAGGGAGAGAATGGACCGTTTCTTTTGATGAGGCTACAATAATGCGAGAAGTCTCATCAAGTGTGAATGATTAATCTGTAACGTTGGATTGTTCTTCTCATTTCATAACAAACATACCAAACAAATAGGTGTCTACTCTGAGATCTATCAAGTTCCATTCAAGCAATCAGCTGTATTTACCAGTATTTGTCTGCTTCGAGCATTTCGTGGCACACTTACTGCTATTTATCTGACTAGTCGTCTCTTCTTGGTTCGTAGTGTGTTGTGAACATATGTATTCGATACTTGGAGGTTCTGTACCTATCTCAAAGTAATTGGCCAATGGATAATGATTAAAATTTTTTCAAGTAACATTACTCTTGGCGTGAAAGTTGTTCGATGGATTTCTTAGTTCACTACTTCGTGAAAGAAATTCTTGAAAACGAACATTTCCGATGTGCTCTGATATATTCATAGACTCGTTGTTATCCATATTGAGCATATCCTGTGCAAATCGATCGATTGAAAAACTTGGCTCAAACCGGGTATCCAAAGGTATCTGCAATTACGATCAGAGAAATTAGTACAAGCATCTTCTATACTAAAGCAGTAAATATGATACATCAACTTAAAACGTATGTAACTCACCTGTATTTCACCAAAGCAATCATTTTGATTTGTTAATAAATTTTGTTCAAAACCGAGATCTGAAGAAGCATGATTTGCAGAGGAGAAGCTTGGAACCATCATGGATTGATATGAGACATTAGGGTATTGAGAAAAATGCTTATAGTTTGTATGCATGTCCATTATCATCATCTCATGCTCATTGTCAACCATGTCTATAATACAAAGCTTGAGTCTAGTAAAAAATTATCTACAAAATTATATCATTTACTTTCTATTCTATTGGATGACTGAGACGAGACAGCATCATTCGTATGGAATACGAAATCTGGATTTGTCTGTTTGATAATTACTCTTTCTTGTGTCGACACAGCGTTACCTAAAGATAATAATGTTTAAAAATGAGTTTTGTTCAATCAATCTATGCACGGAGAGCAATAGAGACGATTAGAACGATGGCTACAGCTGTAAAATGATAATTTATTAGATATTGATACTAAAGCTGTTATCGGCAGATAAATGCAGTGAGATTGAGCAGCTTTTGAATACTGCGACAAAAAGAACCGCTTGTATTCTGTATTTTTCAATATGCGAAAGAGCTAGCAACATTGTAGTAGGTTGCAGTAAACTGATCGATCAATTGCTGCCCAATCCAATAAGCATATACCGGAAACCTGAAGACTTGCTTAATAAAAAACCTCCTTCAATTATTATAAAGTCAATTTTTTGCGAGAACATGAGCACTTCAGTGACATACTCTCAACAATCAAATAAGCTTAAATCACACCACGAGACATACTGGTTGGATAGTTATATTGTTCGATATTTATTTGTCGCAATAGTTGTACGGAGACACCTAATGTTTACATTCTACAATGCACAAATAGAACTATTTTTATGTGACCAACCTCTTTGTAATTCTCAAATCATTGAATCCAACTTTTAAATGCGACACATGTGCTTGATTCGAACCCATAGAACGGGTGTGCAGAGAACTAATATGAAGAAGGGTTAAAGAATGCACTTATACAAAAGGATAAATAAACTATGTTCGATTCACTTAGATGTGAGGAAGCGACAACTTAATTGATTAAGTACATTTTTATTTGAGACTTAGTTGTCTGTTATAGTGATCTCTAGTATGATTTATGATATTGGAGCAAGCTTCTCACCATTGAAAAAACTGTACATGAGTATAATTTTTCACTGAAACCTGATGTGTTGTCAGTATCGCTTTGTTTCAAGGAGATAAAACTGACGATATATTTGAAACTCATGTAAGTCTAGTCAGTTTGGACGATCATTCAAAGCACCGTATCAGGTTTTATGCACATTGCATATAGCTGCTAGATTTAGACAAAATACAAGTCAAACGAATCTTAACTTACAATAATGTCTTGAAAATAAATATGTTTTGTATCGCTTTCAAGTCATTGTAACGCGCTATCGATCGACAGAAATATTATTTTCATTGATCATTGG